ATAGACTCGCCCACGGAGATTCCCTGAGAATCTCCTTGAGATTCAAATGGGAGACAATCATATCAACACGAGAAGGGGCCTGGCAAAAATTCAGATAAATTTCCCTCTAAAATGACAGTGAAAAGTATCTTAGAATTGAGATAAGAAGAAAGCTGAAATAACAGAAACTGTTAGTGGAAATGATTTTATCAAATACCGTTGCACTGACTAATGTAAGCATGGTGCAGGAGAGAAGGACAATTTGGTTTTTGTCTTAGGGGAAAACAAATTGCAATTAAAGGGAGAGAAATATTTCATATGGTTCTAATTAAAAATTAAAAATTCAGTAATGAATTATTTTATCCTTTTACCCAAAGCTACAGGCTGAAGCTTTTATAAAGCTATAGTGAAGCCAATTGAACTAGAAATTGTCCCATTTGGCTTTTATGAAGTTTTCTTTTTTGTTGTTTTGTTTAGTTTTGAGGCAAGGTTTCACTAGGTAATCCAAGCTAGCCTTGAGCTCCTAATCCTTCTGTCTCAGTCTCGTGAATACCGGGATTACAGGTTAGTGCCATCATGTTTGGCAAGCCTTAGCAATTCTGCTTGGTCAATTAAGGATCCACTTATATCATTGATGGCAAATCTGAAAATGATTCACAAGTTTTCCTGGGTCAGAAATTGCTCATACAGACTTTTCCATTTTGAACAGATTCCTTTTTCAATTTAAGCAAAGATTGGAAGGAAAGAAGATAAGAGAGTGGGGGAAGGAAAGAATGAAAAACAAAAGGAGAGAGAGTAAGAGCATGAAGGGGAAAGGGCAATGGGAAGTTAGACTAAAGTAAACTAGGGAAGAGTTTCCAAGACACATTCTAATTCCTAAATCCAGGGTGTAGCTCAGTGGTGGTGTATGCACAGTGTGAGACCCTAAGTTTAGTCCCTAGCACCACCAAATAGATGATAGATGGATAGATTATAGATAGATAGATAGATAGATAGATAGATAGATAGATAGATAGATAGATAGGTAGAAAAGAAAAAAAGGAAAAGAAAGAAGAAGTAAAAAGAAAATAAATTTTCACAATTGTATTGATGTACAAATGATACACAGGGAGTTACACATATTCCAAATGTGTGATTTTCTCAGTTCTGATATACACTCATCCTCCAAAGTCATCACTGAACACAAGTTCACCACTTCTATCTCTCCGAAACCCCTTCCATAGCCCTTCCTGTTTCCCCATTCTTCACATGATGAGGTTGAGTTTTAAGAATTTTATGATTACATAGCATCACACAATGTTTTCTGTTTTTATAGTATGGCACCTTCCAGCACAATTGAGATTTGTATATGTTCCATGTATCAGTAGCTTTTCCTCTTTGGTACAGACATGTCTCTACATAGTTGTGCCAAAGGCCTACCAAACTTGACTTGCTCAAGATAAATCTCATTCCCTTCTCCTGACCAAAGAACCCTTTCCACATTTCCTCTCCTGGTGACTGCCAATCGTCTTAACAGGAGCATCTTCTCGGGATCCAGCCTTACCCTCCCCTCCCCCTCTTTCTGTTCATGTCCAGTTATCATAGACTCCTGCTAACAGAGCCTGTAAATAGCTTCCTGATGCATCCATTTCTTTGTGTTTTCCATGACTACCAAACAAACAAAACCATTATAATTTCTTTCCCAACTTTCTTGGAAATCTTCCCGTGTCCATTCTTTTCTTCCTGTTAGCAGTTCCCATGTGATAGCCAGGGTGATTTATTTCTAGAACACAATCCTCCAATCTGCAGCTTCTAGTCTTTTTTTTAATTATTTTTATTTATTTTTTAATTACATTATGATATTCATTAATTACACTCATGATATTAATTACATTTGTGGTATTAATTGATTTCATTTGCAGTATTCATTCAATAATTATATTTATGATATTCATTAATTACATTAATTGTATTGATTTATTACATTCATGATATTATGTCCTGATACTACTGTCCATTTGTGGGACTTCTCTATCACATAAAACAGAGATTCTGTACTTAGGAAATCATTGCTCTATATTCCTTTCTTCATCTTGAGATAACGTCTAATCTTTCTGTCTCTATGAATTTGTATATTCTATATATTTCATGTAATACAATTCTATAGTATTTGTCCTTTTTAATGTAAAAGCATTTTATATACAATTGCAGGAGAAATAATACATAGATAGCTTGAACATAAAAACAGGTTATAATTCAAAAGTCCAAGGTTATTTTAAACAGTAAAATATTTTCTCTGTAGAAAATAGTAAAAATGATAACATTTCCCAATAAGCCATTTTAAGCCAAATGATAGCTGAATTATACATATAAATATTGATTAGATTCTGAGATACAGAAGAAACTTATCTTCATCTGTTCAGAGAGCTATGTTTTACTTAAGTTGTGTAAATGAGGTTCCCCTTCACTGTTTGATTTATGGCAGACATTTTTTTATAGGCTAATCCATAATCTAAAAAGATTTTAGCTTCCCCTCCTGAAAGTATGGCCAGCATTTTCTTTCACCAGCTTGATACAATACTTTAAAAAAAAAGCATTAAAAAAATGACATCATGAAATTTGCAGGCAAATGGATGGAACTAGAAAATATCATCCTGAGTGAGGTAACCCAGACTCAGAAGGACAAACATGGTATGTACTCACTCATAAGTGGATACTAGATATAAAGCAAAGGACAATCAGACTGCAACCCACAGATCCAGGGAGGCTACCTAGCAGGGGGGGACCCTAGGATGACTATGGTTTATAATAAGTTTTGGTTTTACTCAATCACTGGGCAAGCTTTAGTGAAACATTTCACTATCAGCTTGGAGTCTTATTTAATGTATTTTCATTATTCTTAGGATTTAAAGACAAATCTTTAACTTGGCCAGCTTGAGTGGTTCCTACTGACCTTTCTACGGAGACTGACCTTTGGCCTAGTCTCAGAGCCACTAGTGACTCCATCACAGCTTCTAACCCCTCTGGCATTCCCCATTTCTGCCTGGAGCCCATCAGCAAATCACAGTTCCTGCTGTTAGGTGTTGCACGAATCCTAAATGGTCTTATAAAAAAAACTGGAGCCAGATATTGGGGTAAATGCTGAAAGACCAGAGGAAACAAGCCACAGCCACTTCTCACCCCGCCAACTTCTTAGTCAAAAGGGGAAGATCCTGTGTCCACCAATCCTCAGACTGAATGCCTCTGAGTCCTCAGCCAAAAAGGCCTGTCTCCTGCCGTTTTCTATTCCTTTCCCTGCTCAGCCATATCACTTCCTGTCTCAACCTACCTAGTGAAGGGATTAAAGGTGTGTGACTCCCAGGTACCAGGATTAAAGGTGTGTGATCCCAAGTGCTGGAATTAAAGGTGTGTGCCACCACTGCCTGGCTGTTTCCCTTTTAAATTGGATTAATCTCGTATAGTCCAGGGTGGCTTTGAACTCACAGAGATCCAGAGGGATCTCTGCCTCTGAAGTGCTAGGATTAAATGTGGCTAACTCTGTGGCTGGCTCTGTCCTCTGATCTTCAGGCAAGTTGTATTAGAGTACAACAAAATATCACCACAGTTAGGATGCTACTCAAATAAGCTACCATTATTTTAATGTTAATATTTATTTTTCTTTCTGAGATAAAATCTTATGTACTCCAGGCTACTCTTGAACCTACAACCCTCCTCCCTTAACCTCCCAAGTGCTGGGGATTATAGGATTGAGCCACACATTGGGTTCAGCTACCATCATTTTCAACCATTTCATCTGTTGCCACAAACCAGTAAGGGGGAAATTAATTTAAATCCATCCATATTCTTCTCTCTCCCTCCTCCCTTCCTCCCTCTCTTTATCTCTCTCCTCTTCCTCCCATTCAACTGTTTTTCCAAGAACTCCCTGGTCTGTATGATGGCTTCTAGAATAAATCAAACCAGCATCTTGTTGCTATATCCCTTCTACTAGATGTCCATTGCAGTTTACAGTACAGCTCAAAGTCTTCTGCACTGACCACAAGGTCCTGCTTGACCTGGCTCCTGCTCACAGTCCATCCTCTGCCACTGCCTTCCTTTTTCACTCTGCTCCAGCCCTGAGGATATCTTCCTAACTGTGTCCTTGCCTCAGCACACTCCATTGATCGTTTCTTGGAATGCTTTTCCAGCTTCTGAATGGCTGGGTCCTTATCTTCTCATTGCCAAAAAGAACTCCTTGGCCATTTTTCCTCTTCCAGGAGATCACTCTCCATTCTTCTGCTTGTTTTTGCTTTCTGTTCCTCTCAATGACTTCCCATCTCACTCCTATTGATCTCCACAGACAACTCTCAGGGTGACATGCCATCTGGCCATCTTTTTCCTCTGTAGTCTCATGGCCTTTTTGGTCTCTTCATCCCATCCAAGCCATACTATTAATAGTTTACTCACTGTTTTTAAAGTATCTCAAGGGCTGTCCCAACTCACGACTTTCAGAGATATCATCCTTTCTCTCTAAGATGGTTTCATGTAAAACTATAACATCACTTAATCCTTCCTGTCATTTAGGTCTGGCTCAAGTGTTGGTCATAAGGTAGGTCTTTTTTCATGACCCCAAGTAATACAGAAACCCTATCAGCACAACCATGACTCTATCCTTCACCTTTTATTTTCTCAAAACCCATTACTCAGCATGTTAAATAAGTTTGTTGACTGTTTTCTGCCAAGTAGGGTGTGCCATCTAACAGAGCAGCGATTGTTTTCAACACTACTGTTCACATTGTTCTTAGATAAGCAACCAACAGTTTCCCCAGGGAGACTCTGGTGCTCCTGGCCTTCCCACTGGGCCACGCTGCTGTCCACCCTCACTGGAGCATCCCCTGCCGGGCTGGCCCAGGAAGTCTTACACATAGATAGAGGAAGTGCCCCAAGGGCTGAGGCAAAGACATAGAAGGCTGTTGCAAAATAACGGGCCTCTTTACCTCTTGTGGAGTTTAATCGATCAGGATTCATCCACGCGATGTGAAAATAAAAGAAACGAGAGACCAACCTCAACAGAAACCCGCCCTTTTATTAGAACAGTGAAGGACGGCAGCCTTGGGGGAAGTGGAGACCGCGCAGAAGCTCAGGGTGCTTGAGAGTTTCACAGCGCAGAAAGGGGAACTCCTGAGGCGGGTGGTTCCATCTTCATCTCTGTTCCCCTGAAGTCTCAAAGCTGTAAACACAACGGAGGTTGATGTGCTGATCTTGTCAGGAGCGTCCCAGCTCCTAACTGCCTGTAGGTGTTACAGCCAGTGACCTCTCCTGAAGGGAGTTTCTTAGCTAGCCTGAGACTTTTCGGTCATTAAGTCCTCAGACTAGCATTTGAGCCTTAATTTTAGTACTTATCTTACAGAGAACGCAAAGACCCCCAAGGATGTGAGAAGGAGCGGCTTTCCCTAACCTTAGGGCCGGAAGTGTTTTCTTCAAGGTGGGGGACAGGGGCTGGGGAAAACAGCCCGAACTTGCTAAACTTGCGGAGTTCCAGAGGCGGGGCTTTGAGTCTGTCTCCTCTCGAGGGCTCGGCAAGCACCTCGGTGCAAAGCCTCGAGTCTGCGCAGGGAGGGCAGGACTCACAGCACTTCCTCCCGAGCCCGCGTCCTCGCCTCCAGCCCGGCCCAGCCCAGGGGCGACCACAAGCGCGCATCTGCGCTCAGCTCAGCCCGGTGCACTTCGGAGCAGCCCAGCGCATCCCGGCGCCACCCGGTGCATCTCAGCGCAGCCCCCCGTCAGCCGTCGAGGTAAGCAGCACCCCAGCCCCGCGCGCCGCAGCTCCGCGCGTCTCAGGTGGGAGGGGACCCGCGCGACACGGGTCCACTCACCGGCCACGTGAACCCGTGCTCCTGGTGCAGCCTGGAGACTCCAGGTCCGGTGTGCACCCCTTGCACTTGACCTGTGCCAGGCCTGGGGTTCTCTCTTCTCTTCCCCCTGCGTTCTGTTTCGTCCGATTGAACGTGTTTCCTGCTTAGGAAATGCTACCTGGCTCAGGCCTGAGATCTCTGAGCTGAGCTGGTAGTCTGAGACAAGACATCCCGGAAGCATTTTAGGGCACCGTGCTGTTAATTGCTAGTCTGAGACTTTTGAGAGTTGGTGGATACCAACTGGAAGTGTCCCCTTCGTTGGAAACCTTAAGAAACTGTGATTCTGCTTTTTTTTTTTTTTTTTTTTTTTGAAGATAATCTTTCCCTCTCAAATAGTCTCCTTTTCCTTGTAAAATGTGGGTGAGGATGAGTTTGAATACCAGACACAGGTTTCCTGATTTAGCTTGGAATCAAGATGCAGAAAATATTTTAAGTCATGAAGGACAGAATGCACTTATATCCCCGAGAACCCCGGTGCAGGCACCCCACTAAGACCTTACCACGTGTACCTCTTCTTTCTCCATGGAGAATGTATTTCACACCTTGGTTAAGAGTGACACGTGCTTTCCTGGAGCCGTTCAGCATCTCCCAGTTCATAGAGGTTTTTGTGATAGAGACGCCAGCGAAAGGGGAAAGGAATGCCGAGAAGAAACGGTGGGTGGATCCTCCATGAAAGAGCTGTGTGGTGTGAACAAAAACAAGGACGGTGCTACTCGCTTCTAAAATCTGAGACTCCAAACCGAACATTCAGCAAGGAAACCTTGGCCTTCACACTAAACCAGGAGTTTTTCCTTGTGGGCCTCACTAACACACAGGCACATGGGCCTTGAGAGGACTGCTGGCCAGCAAGATAGCAGGAGATAGGAAAAGCGTCCTCTGTCATGTGCCTCCAGGTGCTGATTCCTGTCTGCTCAAAGAGCTGCCAAAATGTAATATCATCTTCCAACTGTTAGTACTTACTTTGTACATTCTTACAAATACTTGTGACTTTTCTGGTACTTGGAACACTCAGATTGTTGCTGCACATCTGATACTAACTAGACAGGGATGGACTTAATTACATTGTCAAGCCACACTGGGACTCAAGTAGTAGATGAGGTTATACAATATAAGAATGAAAACATAACCGTGCTGTGAAGGGCTGGGGGTGCAGCTCAGCTGTGGAGCACTGTGTTCAGTACCAGAGGGAACAGGAGGGTATGCTAACAGACTGTATGAGCTGAAATATAAACATTTTGGGTGGTTTTTGTTTCTGAGAAATACCACCAAAAAGCAAAGCAATTTCTGGTCTCCATGTAAGTTGCCAACATTCCATTCTATTACATTTCAAAAGTCCTGAGTTACTATTTTTCGAGAAATGTAACTTGGAAATGTGTAGTTAATTACACATACTACTCACTAGGCTCTGTTTTGCCCACTATATTTTCTTTGAATTTTTGTATTCTGAGAATGTATACCAATTCTCCACTATAGTTTCACCTTATGTCACGTATAGATAAAAAGTTCTAGATATTTCAATATTATATGGTGAGCAATTTATAGTTTGTTGCCATGAATGTTTGTGTTGTGCTACTTTGATTTCTCAAAGAGCATTGTTGTTTTCCTTTATTTCTACTTATTTCTAGTCATTTTTATTTCATTTTATCTATTTTGATAAATAATCCTTTTAATGAATCTATGGGGTTTTTTTTAGGGTAAATTCAGTTTGTGTTCTATAGTCTATCAGACAGAACCTTATGAGTGACCTTAGGCACTTTCAAAGTAAAATAATTTAAAATAAAATAGGACAAACATGGAACATTTTTGTTTCATTATACACATAACTGGAAGGTCATTTTGTGCAACATTTTGGATAATTTTGTGTGTGAGAAAAATTGTATATTGCAGCTAAGTGCCTGGGTGCCTTTTCTTCCCCCTTGGAGATGCTGACTAAATCTGTCTGGTACGTCTGTGTTTGAACTGTGACACGTCACATGAGGTTAGATCGAGCATCAAGATGGAATAATTTTTACTATTAGCGTGATTGATATTTTCAGTATGAAAATGTATCTTTTTTATCAATTCTTTCATCTGAAATGACAGGTTTCTTAAAGTTCAAGCATCATAGGAATTCAGATATAAAATAAATATAAACTTTAAGATTTAAAGATATTTGGTGGGGACATTGGTTGTTCGGCGATGGTTATATGCTAAAGCAGAGTTATAATTATCAGGAGACCTGCCTTTCAATCTGGAAAAACAGTACATTTCTCTAGGGAAGAGAGAAGAGCAGCGCTAAGACACAGCCCCACCTCCACCAGTTCAAGAGCCTGTCTTCATGGTGGCAGGGCAGGGTCCGAGGACAGTGAGGGCTTAGAGACCAGAACTGCCAAAATGCCTCCACTGCACCACTGCACCCTCACTTCCCAGCCAGATTCTGTCACCATATAAGGTTCAAAGCATGCTTGCTAAATCAGTTCCACTTCTCAGGGGCACCAGCAAAATGTCTCAAGCCCCAAGACCCAGGGCATCATACTTCCCAGTACAGACACTGCAGCGGCTTCAGTTCAGGACTCCGTTTCCACACATTTCCTGAGTGCCGACTATGAAACTCAGTCACCAAGGACTGTATAATGAGACCTATTTCCTTCCTTCTCTTTCGAATTGGGTTCCCTTTTGATCACTGTGTGGCGATAGTACATAATGCTTATTGTTTCTTATTGAACTTGTTGTTTCATTATCCAAGTTCTGGAGACCAGAAGTTTCATATTGTGGATATTGGGGGGTGGGAGATAGAATGTTTGCATATACATGAGATATCATGAGGATCAATTCCTAGCATGAAATTCATTTGTTTCATACACACTTGATACACATAGTTGGATGGTACTTTATGCAATGCTATAAATAATTTTGTGAATGAAAGAGTTTATGTGTTTCAGCTAACAGAGATAATGAGTATCCCCCCCAAAAAAACCGCTGCAGCCCTGGGAAGGCTAAATAAACTCTCTGTTCCATGTCTATTTTTTAAATCTCTTTTTTTATTTTTTTATTTATGTGCATTGGTGTGTTGCCTGCATGTATATCTATATAAGGGTGTCGGGCACCCTGGAACTTGAATGACAAACACTTGTGAGCTGCCATGTGGGTGCTGGGAAATGAACCCTGGGTCCTCTGGAAGCACAGCCAGTGCTCTTAACCACTGAGCCATCTCTCCAGCCCCCTATAATTATATTTTGACTCTGAACTGTCATGTGTAATCAGTGATTTCATGTTAGTGTTTCAAAGTGTTTCAGATTTTGGAAGATCTGGGATTTGAGGTTTTCAGAGTTAGGGATGCTTACCATGTATGGTGTACCAGACACTGAGATGGCTGGATTACGGTGTGGTTTGTTAATCTTCACATCTAGGCTTGTACTACTGTAACTCCTCTTTGTCACTGACAAAATGAAAGCGCAGCGCGTTTAAGAAATGCAGAGAGAGAGTACCACGCAGAGCTAACACTGACCTGCACAAGTTTGAAAGCAGCACCCTGCATCAAGCACCAGGGCTCAGATGAGGGGAAAGATGGGTCCTCAGTGACCTTGTAGCCTACAAGTGGGGAGAAAACCAGACCATGATAATTCTACATGTGTCTGATGTTGTGTTCTGTGTGACCACATAGCGGGTCCCTACAGCAGACCAGAGTGAGGCAGGGGGGTGAATGAAAGACAGCCGAACAGGACAAACAAAACATCGACAAACTTGTCTTATTATAGATAGAAGACAAGAGAGATATCATCTTCAGCTTTATAGTTATTACCTTTATCTTTTGGCAAGTAATCTCCTTCGGCCTAATCGTGTTTTCATTCTTATCTTTGTTATATCCAAATTCCTTGATTAAATCAACAAAGTAGTAAATCTAATCTTTTCTCTAACTCTATCGGAAGTCTTTCTGATTGGTCTTATAGACTCATCAGAAACATGCCTGTGCGCTGGGAGGGAGATAAGAGCTTAATTACAGGGGAATTGTGTTCCCACACAGTGGCTGGAAGATTTATGTCCAGGTCAGAGAAATAAAAGGTAACACCAGAACAAGTGAGCTGTGATTGGGTATTTTCCCTTCATTTGTATTATGAAAGTGTTCATGTATACAAATGATTACTATCTATATTCATATATCCATATATGTATATAACATTACTCTCCTTAACAACTTACTACTTGGGGTATCATGTCTCTAAAGATAAGGTCCAAATATGCCATCTCACCTACAGCTGCCTAGGCCTCTCCATCTCACATTTGACCCTATCAGTTTCCCCGACCATATATCCTAGTCAGGGTTACTTTTGCTGTCATGATTAAAAGCAGCTTGGGGGAGGAATGGGTTTATTTGGCTTTCACTTCCATACCACAGTTCATCATCAAAGGAAGTCGGGACAGGAACTCAAGCAGGACAGGAACCTGGAGGCAGGCGATGATGTAGAGGCCATAGAGGAGTGCTGCTTACTGGCTTGTTCCTCATAGCTTGCTCAATCTGCTATATTATAATAGAACCAAGAACCACCAGTCCAAGGGTGGCCCCACCCACAATGCCTGGGGCCTTCCCCCATCAATTACTAATGACAAAAATGCCCTACAGGCTTTCCTACAGCCTGCTCTTATGGAGGCATTTTTCTCAACAGAGGTTTCCTCCTCCCAAATGACTATAGCGTGTGTCAAGTTAACATAAGACTAATGTCAATCGGGGCCAGGCTCTGCCAATGAGCAAGCAATACCTAAATCCTGTGGCATATCTTTCTAAACAACTAGATTTTGTTACAGAGGGATGGCCACCCAGTCTACACATCCTGACCATTTGCCCTCATAATCCCAGAAGCTAGCAAACTTTCTTCACATGATCTAGTAACTATGTATTCATGTCATCTGAGCACAGATCTCAGTCACCAAGCTTTCCTTGCTCCATCACCCTCCCAGGTCCAAATCTTACTTACATACCTAGCTTCTTGACTCTATCCTTCGAACCCTGCCCTACCCTCACCTCTGCCACTGGCATTGCTCAATTTGAGAGCCTTACAAAAACAACAACAACAACAACAACTTCCATGAATAGCCAGTCCCTTTGAACTCATGCAAGGGAGACCCATGATCCACCTGCCCCCCAAGACTCTCCCCTAAGACCTCTTTGCTTCTTTCTTCGCTATCCAACAGTGTCCTTTACATTCCTCAAGACAGAACTTTGAAAGCATACTAACAAGTCCTTACATCTTCTAGATCCCAGTGCCCTCTCTTAGTGTAGAGATAGGAGATACAGTCAATACTTCTGACTCTGTCTATC